AGATCATGCACATAATGGGCATCCTTTGTTGTGCCTCGCTGAAAGTCGGGCGCTCACATCCTTTGGCCGCCGTTATCCTTTGCCGCGTCATGCGCGTGCCCGCCCAGATCGACTGGATTGGCCAGTTCGAGCTGCGAGCTGGTCAATATCGGCCCTTCTTGGCCAACTGTCCGGCCTGTGGGCGTATTCGGCTCACACGTTATTAATTCGTTTTTAAGCGCTGCTCCGTGGAGGAGTGATATATTTGTACATATTACTCTTCTCACCTCGATCGACGACCGCGGCTCCCAGCTGACCGGTAACTGTCTCGCGCAGAAGCCGCCCCAATTAATCATCTTTCTCTGGGATTTCATCTGGGAGACCGACTGAGCCAGCGGTAGAGGCAACGGTAGAGGCAGCGGCGGCGGCGGCTTTAACGTGCCGCCCTTTTGTGGTAACATTTGCTGTGTAAACAGTTGCGGTTGAGTTTTAATTTAGTTTTCTTGTTTTTGGGCCCTAACAGCTGTTGCTTGAACTCCGGCCCAAAGGGGCTTTCGTTTAAGCTGACATATGGGCGTTAGTGGTAATTTTTCAGTGGAGTTTATTGGAAACATTTTGGGTATCATTAGTGTTGCATTTAGGGCACATCTATATGCTTTTAATGAGCCATTTTATATACCGAGCATTGTGAATAGCATATGACGACTGGCACTTTGTAGTGCCTTAAGCGTTTCCCCTTATGTCCCGGCAGTCGCTTATCCATTATATTCTTATCGTTATTATATATATTAGAAGCGTTTGTATTATTTCTGAGATCTCTTTCGTATAGCTACTGGAATTTTAAAGAATTTTTATACCCTGAACCCATTTTCAATGGGAAATCAGGGTATAATGGTTTTGTTGAAATGTATGTAACAGGCAGAAGGAGGCGTGGCAGACCCCACAAAGTATATATATTCTTGATCAGGGCGACGAGCTGAGTTGATTTGGCCCTGTCCGTCTGTCTGTCCGTCTGTCCGTCTGTCCGTCCGTCCGTCTGTCCGTCTGTCCGTCTGTCCGTATGTATGAACGCGTCGATTTCAGAAGTTATAAGAGCTAGAGACTTCAAATTTTTTTTAAAATGTTCGTTATTACAGCGCGCATATCAAGTTTATCATTAAAAATCGATAACTCATCCCGATCTTTTTTTATCGATAAAAAACCTTATCGAAAACCAGTTATAAAATTATATCTTCTACACCTTTATTGCTAGAGTCTCCAAATTTTTAATGTATGCCTATATGCAATTTATACAATTTCGATTTTTGTTAAAATTTACCCCCCACCCTTAAATTCACCCCCTCACCCTCACTTTTGTAAAAAGCGTATTTCAAATACTAGAGACTTGTGCTTTGGCAATTACATGCATATCCATGTCATAATCATAATCTGAAAGTTTCATGAAGATCGTACGTCCACAAAAATGTTATTAAGCAATTAAGTTCTCATAGTAAGCGCTCACTGCCGCCCATGCGTGTTTATGCTTGTGTGTGTATATGTATGTAATTGTTTGTGTATGTGTGTGTGTGTGTATGTGTGTATTATGTGTGTGTATGTATGCCTGTGTGTGCGTGCGTGCGTGCGTGTGTGTGTGTGTGTGTGTGCGTGTTTCTTGTGTAAGCTGAAAGACGCGAAAAATTATTGAAATAGCTATTACTCCAAGGGTTCAGGGGATCTCGTAGTCGAGTAGTCTCGACTAGAGCTTTCTTACTTGTTTAAATTAACTTTATAATTTCTTTTAAGCATTTAGATATACATATTAAGGTATAGGTTATCTTTTAATTTATTTTTCTAATTTATACTTTTATTAATTTATACTGCTATAATTATTTCATTTGTCTTATATTCAATTATAGTTTAACTATTGACATATATATATCCATCGCTTATTATTTCGAATAGATACAAATATACCACTATGTTTAACAGTAATTGGTATTAGCATTTACTTTTCTAGAGTTTAATAACTATACGTTACTTAATTTTGTTTTATTGTTACGAATTTTTTGTTTTATTGGTACGAATTCAATATATAAGTATTATTTAATATATTATTTACTATATCAGCTTCTTTTTAACTCTTGGTAATTTTTTATTAAGTGCTACTTATTATGTATGTATATATAATATTGTTTTTACATTACTTATATATACTTTATAAATTATTTATAAAACTGGACGTCATCCCTATTAGAATTTTACTTATTCACAAATAAATAAAAAACATCTTTGAGCGGAATCCAATTACTATGCCGTACAGCTGCTTCACTTTAAAGTATGCCGAAACGACGAACAAAAAAATTAAATTCCAGAGTTTTCTGCGAGCCATCACTCAAGTTAATTCCTCTTTTTCTCCCTTTCTATGGCTGCATGCTTCGTTTGCAAATGAATTCCCAACTTGAACTAGATACTCGACAGCTAGTCAAATTGTTGAGCCTGCTGTTCCACCTCCCCTTCTCCCACGGTAAGGCAACCACAAAAATACACTCACATAAAAATGCCAGAAAAATTTTATATACGCATGTATATTTATATAAGTAGAACGTTCGCAAAATATGTAACAAGTTAGAGCTGAGGTATTCGCTTCGATTTATTTATTTCGACAAATAATGTGAATTGAAAAGCGCGCACATGGGCCACAATCAATTCGATGAAGGGCATAGGTGGGGGCAAAGTGGGGCAGCGCAATGAAAGTGTAAATATTAATAAGCGGCTGCCGACAAAGGCCGCAGACTTGAAGCTCCACACAAAAGAGCGACCGCACACTTGCCATTCGAAAGTTCAATAGCGAGATACAGATACAGATACAGATAGCGATACGATTGCAGATACAGATACATCAATGCCGCAGCCACAGAAACGAACAGTAGCTGTTTGGGTTGTCATAAGTTTTGAGCGATTGCCCCGCAGCGAAGCCACACACACAGCGTGGCGGCCGCCCGAACAATAGCACCACAATTATTGCCAAATGGCACACAGAGAGAGAGAGAGAGAGAAAGGGAAGAGGAAAAGAGGGCGAGAGGGAGATGGAGCGACGTGCACCCACATCCAGGCAAATGTGTCTTACAAACATACAGACACGTACGCTAGCAGAATTAACAACTTCTGAGCTCGCACAGTGGCAGCAACAACAAGTTGGACAACAACTACAATTTATAGTTGTTGCTGTTGCTGTTGTCGTGTGTGTTAGCCAAGGCCAACTGCGCTTTTTGGATAGCCGACAAACAGTGCGGCCGCATAATTTCCATGTGCGCACACGCGGCGTATGCGCAACATGGACAAAGTTCTTTGATTTCGGCCGCCTCGCGACTGTGCCACAAATTAACCAAAAGTCATGCACTAGGAAATTAACTAGACTCTTTTTTGCTCGTGCGAAAATAGTTTGGCCAGCTTCCCATCCGCCTCGCACTACGCTCTGTTTGAGACCGTCTTTTTCTCATGCATATTCGTTTCATTTGGTTTGGCCATACTTAATTAACAGAGCAGCAACTCCTTCGAGCAATTGTTTTCCAGCCGAGTTTTGGAATAGTCGAGAAGCAGCTGGTGCTCGCATTGAGAGCAGATTGTATATTGTTTATAAGAGATTGTGTATTACTTACAAAATAATGAAAGACACAGATGATGTGGACGTCATAAGAGAGTTTTCCTTGAATTCAACAAATTTATTTCGAAGGAAAACCCATTAGCTACTTATCAGCATTTGCATCAATAATTTCTAGTGTTTTCCCTCTCTTCGACATATCCTTTAACAACAACAAAATGTCAGTTGAGGCACGTCATTGCATCGCTCGAGGACTCGATGAAGGCGTTTATTTAGCTCAATGCGATCGAATACACAAGGATGCAAACTATTCAGAAACGGTACCCACGTCACAGACTGGGCACACAGAGGAGCAAAGGACACACAGAGCTGGTTATTGACATTGGCGCTGTGAAATGTATGCTTGAGTTTGCTTTGCTTTCATTTCTGTTGCTGCCAATGCATAATGTTCACCCATTTCCGTGGTGAAGCGTTGAAAGAGCAAAAAATGAAAACCTTTAACGGCACACAGTTCTGGTTGTTGCTATGCAACGCTTTAAGATTTATATTTTTCCTTTATTGATGATGAACATTAAAAACGCTACATATTGAATATATTTTCAAGATATAACTAAACTATTTATAGCTAGCAATTTATATTCTAGGATTACTGCTCTCCAATAGTTTCCTTTAAAATAACTTTATTTATGATATATTTAATGTTTATTGGTACTTGTCAGTACGCTTATTGATTTTAGTAACGTCATTCACAGTGAACTACGATGCGAACAGGAAACATAAAACGCCAACAAAAGTCCAACAATAAACAGTTAAATAACTGCCTGGGAACGCTTAGGAATGATAGAAGCAATAAGCAAAAATAAGAGGAAGAAAATCAACTAAACATGCCGCGAAATTCGCATAACTTCAAATCAAGCTAAAATACGTCTCATATAAATAACTATAATGGAGTCCAAGATCCACTTAGATCCACTTAGAAGTCAACTCTCTAAGCCAGGGATCAAACGGGGCGGCGCTTGAACCAATTGCAGCCATGCTATGCGCACCCATTGGTTCTCTTTGCCGCAGCTGCTCAATCGAACGCACACAGACGCACACATGCATGCGTTGAGAGCGAGAGCAGAGAGCAACTGGTAGAGTGGGTTGCACTGCTCGCACACACGGGGGCTAGCGATCACTGCACAGTGAGAGCGCTTCGTAACTGTGTCTGTCTCGCTCTCTCGCCAGCCACCCTCGATGCGTGGGTTATGCTGTTTGTTGTTTTTGTTCTTGGTGGCAAACAAAAAAAACTTGTTTTTGTTTGTTGGTGTTCTGCATGCACGAGGCAGCGCTGCCGGTGCCGTTGCCGTCGCCGTCGCCGTCGCGTCGTCTGAGAATCTCACAAATTCGTTTTAGTCTCGGCTGCTGACCGTTTCAAAATCAGTTTCGAGCTGTCAAGCAAACGAGCAGCATCAACAAACAGCAACGTGCGCATGCGCCCTACCCAAACAAACTGAAAAGAAAACTCACAATTGAAAAGAAAACAGAAAACAGAAAATAGTAGAAGAAGTAACTGAACTAGAAAAATAATATTCTTGTGCTGTTAATAGTGTTGGTGAACGTGCACACATATCAATTAATCAAAGTATTAAAACGGATTATAATAACACAGACATGGCTGTATCGGCACTTAACATGACACCCTACTATGCTGGATATCCCTTTCAAGGTAAGCATGCGACAACGATCATCATCATTATCATCAACAACGGCAATAGAAACAGCAATAGCAATAGAAACAGCTTCAGCATCTAAGCATCAACGCTCTATTACCAATTACCACAATTACGGCTACAAAACGTCGTAGAAAATAGTGCCCGATCACCGTGATCATCATCATGATCAAATGGGGCAGCGCTTTCGCCGGCTACAAACGAGAGATCATTACCCGCTCGTCCCCTTGTCCGTTTGTCCACTCCTCTGCTGGTCCGCTCGTACAACAATCATGATCAGCTTTTTGACTTATTGATTGTGATCACAACTCGCAGCCAGCCCCAACCTTTTTCCAGCCAGCCCAGCCAGCCAGTCAGCCAGGCGACGACGACTCACTGTCCAGACTTTGCAGACTTTTTGGCGCGCTCTTCTCGCCTTTTCAACGGTCTGGAGTCGGCTCCGCTGCTTTGATCTTGGCTCAGCGTCTGATGTTTGGGCCTCTCGTGTAGCACGTAGCAGCAACGTCAGCGCCCCAAAACAACAACAACAGCAACAACAACAATAGCAACAGCAACTGAGCTGGAATCTTTGAGCTTTTTGGGCCTTTTATACTCTTGCACCGCACTGATATTACCTGGCACAGCTGGACGCTTGTCCGTCTCTGCGTCTCTCCGTCTCTCCGTCTGTCCGTCCGTCTGGCTTATGGATTATTAGTTTGATTTGATTGCATGGGCTGCACAGCTGCACAGTGATCGGCATTTTCCATGCCTACTGCTCAGTTCAGTTCTTTCTTTTTCTTTTCATTTTTTGCTTTTTTTTTGGCCCACGCAAATTGGCAATTTGCGCTTTGTTATGTTTACATGCGAATTGGCCAACGAAAAGACAAATGGCCAACGAATAGCCTCAGCCTTAGACAATAGATCGTGCGAACTGATCCTTCTGGCCAACAATGCTAACTGCATAATTGGATTACTTATTGCCGCTCAATCGAGTAGCGAAGAGAAGTTAATTGAAGATCACTTGAGGATCACCCGAAGATCGCTTGAGAGCAACTTCGAATGGCCACACGCAGCAAAGAATTTTCAAAACAAAAACCTGTACATCTTATTTTGAGGATAATTTTAAGTCTTTTTGTACTCGAAGATCAGCTAACCTAATCTCGTCATTTCCATTTCTGTTGCTCTTCTTCAGGACAGGGACGCGTCAACCAGCTTGGCGGCGTCTTCATCAACGGTCGTCCCTTGCCCAATCACATTCGCCGCCAGATCGTGGAAATGGCCGCCGCTGGGGTTCGTCCTTGCGTTATCTCCAGGCAGCTGCGCGTCTCCCATGGCTGCGTGTCGAAGATCCTCAATCGCTTCCAGGAGACGGGCTCCATTCGGCCGGGCGTTATTGGCGGAAGCAAGCCCCGCGTTGCCACGCCCGATATCGAGGCAAGGATTGAGGAGCTTAAGCAGTCGCAGCCAGGCATCTTCAGCTGGGAAATCCGTGCCAAGCTCATCGAGGCTGGCGTCTGCGACAAGCAGAACGCGCCCTCAGTCAGCTCGATCTCGCGCCTGCTACGCACCACCTCGGGCTCCGGCTCTGGCAACGGCACTGGTTCCCACAGCATCGATGGAATCCTGGGCGGCGGCGGTGGCTGCTCCGCTGGCAGCGAAGACGAGAGCGAGGACGACACCGAGCCCAGCGTGCAGCTGAAGCGCAAACAGCGCCGCTCTCGCACCACCTTCTCCAATGACCAAATCGATGCTCTGGAGCGCATCTTTGCGCGCACCCAGTACCCCGACGTGTACACCCGCGAGGAGTTGGCCCAGAGCACTGGCCTCACCGAGGCCCGCGTCCAGGTGTGGTTCTCCAACCGTCGTGCGCGCCTGCGCAAGCAGCTCAACACTCAGCAAGTGCCCAGCTTCGGCGGCAACTCCACAGCCCCGTCGTATGGCTCCAGTGCTGCTGCTGCCACCAACATGGGCATGGGCCTGTACAGCACACAGTCGTGGCCCGCCAGTGGAGTTGGCTATGAGGCGAATGCCGGCTACAGCGGCTCGGTGGCTTCCATGTCGCCCGCTAGCAGCAGCAGCAGCTCCGCTGCCCACAGCCCGGTCCAGACTCAGTCCCTGCCCCAAGCACAGGTCAGCAGTGGCAATAGCTTCATGAACTCCGCTTACAGCATGAGCACAGCCACCGCTGGCTACTCAGCCACTGCTGGCACCTCCACTTATTCCATGCCCACAACAGCCGCCAGCTCGGCAGAGCAGCTGCGCTCCCAATTCGCCTCCGCCGCTGCGTCTGGCTCTCATCATCCTTCGTCGTGGGACAGCTACAACTTTGCCGGCTCCTTCTTCCCCAGCGCGAATGCGAATCCCATGGGCGGCTACCACCAGACGGTCGCCCCCGAGCCCAAGAGCTCCATGATGGCGGCTGGAGCAGCCTATCCCTATTTCGGATTTTAATGGAGTCCCCCTCATCTCCAGCACTTGCTCCAGTTCGCCAGCTAGAGGCTTCACTGCTCTCCTAGCTGGTTCTTTTCTCTAATCAGTGCCTGTTTTTTTTATGCAGATCCTTGACTATTTAAAGAGTTTTAGTTAAGAGCTTAAGACTGTTTATACTAAGTTTAAACGTAATTTTAAGATTTTTAACAATTACTTAGGAAACTTTTAAATTAAGTACGGAATCAAAATAAATATAAATATACGAATAAGAATTATAAAACGGTTGTTCTTTATGGATCTTATGGATTATGGATGAGCTATCGGTATAAATGCATTTATAAGAGTGAATGCTTTAGTTATCAATACCCGACTAGTACATACCCGAGTCCTTTGAATTTTCAGAGATTCTCAGCTTCGTTTATGCTCTGCGGGACTAATTGCTGAATGGAAGAAATGGGTATGGAAGAAATAAAGAAAATTAATAACATTTATTTCTTTTTATTCACTAAAGGATAAGCCTTTGGTATTTTAAATAAACAAAAAAAAAAGTATCCATTAATCTGGTTTGTAAGACTTAAATCTCTACTTCTTATTGCATTCACGATACAGTGAATAAACGATGTCAAATTATCGATATTTATCGATAATGCGAACATCAAATAATGTATCGACATTTTTAATGGGGTAATATAAATATCACACCCTTTTTTGACATGCGATAAATTTTCAATAACTAGACTATACTTGATAACCTCAACTGATTAATAGGACAAGTACTCTAATTCATTAAAGCTCTAAGACATTATAATAGTTTTAAACATTTAAAAAATAATTGATTCCATTAATTTCAAATTCGCTTTGTATTGCTCAGATAGACTTTGAATAATAAGCTTACATAAATGTGTTATATACTCATACTATACCATACTATAGTTATATAGCTATAAAGTTATACAAGGAGATACAGGTTAGGATTTCCTCTTGGTTTGAGGAGCAAATATTACTGCAAAATAATTATCAAATTGTATTCTATATCACTTTTGAATAAACCTCCTAACACATATTATAAATGAGTCGTCTTACAAACACCTATTGCGTCCTATATCTGTAACTAGTTTAAATACTATCTTAAGCTACTTTATGTTGCATCCATGGGTGATCTTGGTGATCTCATTTGAGAGACTATAGAACTCTAAGCGCCGGTTCAGTGCAAGGAAAACTACAAAAGATTCATACTCCATTAAACTAAGGACATCGCAAATGTCACACAGGAAAAAGACTGAAAGAGAAACGTGGACCACACAGAAATGTGGACATGTCCAAGCAGCCACAACAGGTTCAAGCCCAGCCCAGCTAATCCCTCAAAATCGTACAGAAATTGTCCCTTAAATTGACAGGATAACAATAGTTCCGCTAGCGTCGATTCCGTCCTGAACTAGAGCTCTTTCTGTGGGTTCCCAGTGCTCGGCTGTGGACAAGGGGACGACAGGGCGAGGACCGTATGAGTTGACAATTAAACAATTAGAGACAACACATTTTGCGACTCGATAATACGAAAATAATTTACAAAATTCCTTCGATTGTCTAAAGAGAGCCGACGTCTAGCGACAAAATAGAGCAATTGACAATGGGAGATGAGCAAAATATGAGAGACCACCAACGTCAGTGCGGGCTCCTTTCAAGATGCCGCCTTGTGGGCTAGTCAAAGATGAGAGGCCCAGGCCGAAGAGCTGTCGAAACGGGAGTGGACAAAGCCATTGACAAAATGCTGGGATGGAGGAATCGAGGGATGGAGAGAGGGGGTGTAGACCGGCTCAAATGTTGTAACTAGTTGTAGTAGGTCCTGATTGTCCTAGTTACGACTTGCTTGGGTGGCTTAGGTAGCTCTACCGCTGCAAGGGTCCTCAATTATGTGTGCACAGCAGGCGTCGCACTTACCACCTAGAATGAATACATATACATATCTCCAAGGGAAGATGCCTGCCGGGCAGTCAGCCTGCCGGCCTGCCAGCGTGCCTGCCTGAGCATCAGCGAGCGTCTAAATGAAAACATCAATTAGCTCATATCGCTCGGGTCTAACTGCCCGGCTAGTGGTGTGGCAGGTCCTGCGCATACCAAGACGACGACAGGTTAGCTCCGTCTCCCTCGCTTTACAAGGGTGATAATGTGTGTCAACTGTGACAATCATAATGGATCGCTTCCTAGGGTTCTCCTATGCTGCTCTCTGCTCCCTGCGAGCGTCACTTTGTCGTACAGTAGCCGAGCGGCTTCTTCTTTTTCTTCTCTCTTCTGGCAGGGCCACCAACTTGGATATTTTTATACAAATTTAATTTGTGTGGCAAGTCGAGTGCAGGAGCTGACAATAACTCCGAGCCTCTTCCTTTCTGTGGCTCTTTGAACAGAACTGTTGAAAGCCACTCCCGGCCTTTGAGCGCGTCTGATTTATGCGTTTTTGATAGCTGAGCGCAAGATCGAATGCCAGCTCAGACGACCCGGTAGCATGCGAAATTTATCTTTTTCTTTCCTTTCTTTTCTTTTTATTTGAGCCCACTTCCTGTGTGGCCCAAACGGTATGCTGAATAGCAAGCACTCGGTGTGTCCGGTAGCTGGCGGCAAAATGTAGACGCTCTGTCTCCCATTGCCGCACTTTGATTGATGATCGGCATCAAAGGCGTCCATAATGCGAATTGTGATCGGATTGAAACGGTAGCGACTGGCGAGAACCGCAATGTGGGAACTTTTTGTGCAGTTGAACTTTGGCAGAAAGAATGTCAAGCAATTTAGTTAGTTACAGGAGAATTACTTTAAAGTGGTATAGCTACATGCATATATACATTACATTTATTTTGATTGGCAACAGATGGAAATGTAAACATCGTTTGTGGTTAATTGGGCTTATTTTAATGGGGAATAAAACATGTCAATGATTCTTAAATCTATGTATTCATGTAATCATTCGAGCTTTATATGTACAGACCAATTTAAAATTCACTTATGTAATGAAACATTAAGTTCTTGAAAATGTGCATTCACATATTATGTACTATGTAAATTCTATGGCATCGAATTACTGACTTTACCACAACTGAATTCTCTGGTTATCCAGTGCTTGCGCTGCTACTATTAAGTATGTATTTAATTGACTTCTGAGGGTCTTAATAAAGAATAGAACTGCAAGATTGTAGATCTGGTTATATCCAGGCTTAGCTAACCGAGTTAATAGTATTAATGGCGTGTCAGCCAATCTAGTTGTCTACTAACAGTCATATCCAACAATTGGCTGTGTGTGTTATTATTTATTTATTAGGGATTATAATTAATATAAAATTGAAAGTAACTCAGAAATTAACCACTGGAAACTGCAGTATAATTATAGTCAGAACATATGGAAAATCAACAACGTAGTCCATTTTACACCTCTGACTGAGTCTTCGAACTATAAATGTAATCAAATTCTATATGGCTAAATTTAAAAAGCTGAAAAATATCAGCTATCAAATAATTCGTTTCGAACATCACTCTCCACGTATTATATATATCATATACACTTACACATATATAGTTATAGTCCCACAAGTCACAATCCGAATCCTTTACACTTCCAGTTATTTGGCGCCTGTGCCACAACTTCGCGCCCAAATCGCATGTGTCCAATGCGAACTGCAACCGTTAATTGCCAAACTGGAAGCCGAGCGCCACTTAATAAACATGTATGGGCAATATGACAGGCACAGACAATTTACAAGTGCTCATGATGAACTGATGAAATTTTCCGCTAATTTTTCACGTACTCAGCCGCTCGAATCAACCACACGCCAAAAACAAAAACATATACATATATAAATTTATCATATATTCATTATAAATTATTTACGTTTATTAACCAAAGAGAAAACAACAACAACAACAGCAATTCAGGTGCGATTCACGATAAAAGATATTAGTTCATGGGTTTTTTTTTTGTATTTTGGGAGCGTTGATAAAGCATCAAAACCAATCTGATAAGGAACGCTTTAAATTCCGTTACGTAACGCAAATTTAGAGCGTTACAATTTGCGTGACAGAGATGGCAACAGAAACCTGGTTCACACCACGCTCGCATGACTGACTGTTCTCATTTTCGGTCTTGGGTTTTCGGTTTTCGGGGTTGTCTCTGTTTGCTGCTCTTCCTCTTTCTCTTTGCCAAAGGCAATTTGTGCATGAATTTTGATCGATTCGCGTTGAAAATTTGATAAAGTCAATGTTTGAGTTTGCCATATGAGTGTTTATTTGCGTGTACATACGTATGCATATATTTTGGGAAGTGCCGAGAGGAATCTGCGCCTCCATAAGAAACATTCTGTTAAACCTTTTGCAACAGGTGGCTTAAGCTTAAAGAACTGTTGAGGTAAAGGAGATAAATTTTGTTACAGTTACAGTTAAAATTTTACATAATCATACAAGTCGCTGATATTCGATAATATTTTTAATGGCTTTCATTGAAGTGTGAGTACTAAACTATTAAAAACGTATCGTGCTTCCCTAAAACTTCAAGTCTCTAGTAGATTGCAAGATCATAAAGTTCATACATAATGACTGATAGGATGGAGGGATGGTTAGACAGGGTTAGATCGGCTCAGCACATCAGCCAATTTAAGATTATTTAAAATCTCTGAGCTCTTTTTCGTCTTCCTATTACATTTTTACGTTTAACATAAATAAATTAAATTCTCATTACAAATTTTTAGGTGTTATATAATTAATTATACTATTTATATAAGTTTATAATTTTTTCCAACCACAGCTCAACTGCTACGGCCTCGAATCCTTACTCCTTACATTATTTAAGTAATTTACATATATAGTTATAATTTATAATAATTTATAATTTAATATTTCAATTCCCAGTTTCTGTTTAGTTAGATTCTAGCTGTAAGAAGTCTTACGGTCCCAATATAGATATCATAATTTTGAGGACTCTGTCTGCAATGTCTTCATAACTGCATCGCAGGACGGAATTGGGCTTAACGAGTGGTTGAGTGGTGCGTCGCCCGCGGCAATCGGTGCATCGGTGCCACAACTAGTCGACGCTGTGGCAGGCGATGACGTAGCTGCAACTTGCAGCCGAATACTTGCAACATTACAATTCAATAAGCGAACCCTAAGCCAAGAGTCGACTCCACAAAGTTGCAGCTGGCTCGACTAGAAAGCGGCAGCCAGCATGTCTG